AAGCCAGTTCTAAACTTCTGAACATGGTCACACCATTCTTACTTCACTGCTATAATGTTCCACACCTTTTTTTGCTGTCTACTGCTACTATCACGACTAAGTATCATTCAACACAAAAGTTGTTTAGAAACATTATCCTAGCTAACACAAAACAGTTTCTCCAATTCATAAACAGTCCATTTTTCTCAAATCACTGCCTTTGTCTAATCTACTAGTAATTATATTACACATGAAAATATAGCTCAAAACTATAATTCTAATATTTTAAATACAATAAAACAAACAATCACATGGCATTTGTCTGTAAGAATGAATTAATTTTTTATCCTACCACTTCCTTCATTTTAAGTAGCCAAAATGACAACAGCGAAGGCAAAAGATTTCAGAAAAAAAACTGAAAGGAACAAGCTACTGAAACAAATTTTTCCACTTCTTAAATTTAGTCTTCTGACAACTTGCTAGAATTTCTGACTTTTCAATACAAATTTTCATTATACAGTGTACAGATGAAATAAGTCACAAAGTACCCACGGTATTTGTTTCCACCATGAAGAAACTCTCAGTTAGTAGTAGCAAAAAAGGGTCAGTGTTCTATAATTTTGTAAGAGAAGACTACCCCTCAGAACTTGAGTTAAAAAAACCAAAGTGGACAATGCTTCAAGAGTACTTTACAGATTGCTACTTTGTGCTCTCTCCCTTCTCTCCGTCAGTTCCTATCTCTCCTGGTTTTAGCTACTCTCCTTCCCCCATACTACTATACTCCTCCATGTTAAGTTTCAGCAACCAGGAAATAGGGGGACTTTGTGATCCCTTACTGTCTGGAAAACTTAAAAAATACTAGGACAGTGCTTTTGAGCATCTTCTACCCACCCCTAACATAACCAACTAAATACACATTAATTATTCCCTCTTTTCTTAAGGGCACTGACTTTGGGAGAAAAAGGCCATCCCCACATCTTTAAACATTACAAAATTATGTTTATTAGAATATGAGTTTTCCATCCTAGCTATAATTGGGCCTGTCTATGCTTGGCAACTGAAGCTCTCTGTTTTTGGCTAGTATAGCCCAAAATATTCTCAACAATGTCAAGAATTCCCAAATGCTGAAGCCAAACAATGCATCCATGAAGAAATGACTGCTTCTTTTCTCCTCTCAGGTAGAAGCACACCTCAGCCATTCTGAAACATGCATTCCATATACACAAAATGAGTCACTCAATTGTTCAGGCCCCATTTACTGCACAGCTACACGTCATCCAGGAGAAAGATGATACATTAGACTGAAGTGGCACACACTGAAATACAGTAGAAGAGATCATCCTCAACATGCACCCAAAATTCACTTAAGTTATTCCCTGTACCTGTGTGACATATATTCTTTACATCGTGTTTTACACCCCTCCAGAGTCTTTTAATTACTCCAGAGAAGAGATACATTATATACTTCATACATGGCTCTACCACTCCAAGCACCTAATCACTTTACTTACAAGATTAAAGCATTGTAACTGCAAAGAGAACACAGGAGAGCAATTCAAAGTACAGTTATTAGATGCTGATTATTAAATACTCAAATCTATACAGCCAGTGAGCAATGAGAAGATTGAGACTAGTAGCTAACTAGCAAGCCATTTTATTTTTAGTAACTTAGGATCTCATGTAATAAGAGCAGAGCAACTGTAATGTAACTTTTTTAAACAAAAATGCAAACATTTTATATAACATGGCAATTTTTAAAACTGTGCATGAAGAAATCCATAACATGTATAGAACTTCTTCAAGAAACTGAAAATTTTTGAAAAAATTGAACTATGTAATATACTAGCATTACTGGAATTCTTAGCTCTCTTCTATTCAAGTACACTTTACACAAACTGCTTATATACAATGTGAGTTCACAAACTAACAGACAGAACTAAAGTTCATTCTTTCTGCATTACTTTGTAAATAGTAATGTAAGGGGTGAACTGTGTGCAGTGACACTTCTTTGCCTCCATGAATTCTAGGTAAGCAAAACAAGACATTACAGACCAAATCAGAGTTATTTCATATGTATTTACAAGATGACTGGGTTTTAATATGTTCTAATGCTTTCAGAAATTAAAGCACACTGCTCCTCTGACAGATTTTAGCTAGGAAGTGTGTTCCCATTACATATTTTGAGTTGCACAAATCCCCACATTTACTGTATGCAAACCAAGTTTTCAAATAGTATTTGTCATTTTTTCCACCTCCATTCCAAGTTTTATGTTTTCATCCGCTTTTGCTGTTATTTTCTGGTGACTCAACATGTAAATAAAATGAAGACTGAACATCAGATGAAGAAAAATGTCTTAAATCAAGTGTACGGCACAAATAAATGGCAATAGCTTCAAATTTATCAGCTTCACTTGCAGGTAACTCAGACTATAAATTTCTTAATAAAACATTATAAGCAAGCATTCCTTCTACTATATACTTGCCTTGCCCATATGAAGTCCTCAAAGCTCAAAGCCCTCTTTTAATTGAAAAACAATACCCACACTACAGTAGTTAACTCCTGTTACTCTTTTACAAATGGGTTTAAAAATATAAGTAACATGCTCACTTTTCTGTTTAAGAGAGAAACCAGCCAGACAATAGTTAATAAAATTTTCAAATTTGTATTGACATGACTGATGATAAAATAAAGCAAATTTTCCAAACAGAAGAGTCTTATATCACAATTCATTTCTCTAAGTGTAACTGAATATATCGCAACATGCTGTATAACTGACCAGCATATATACTGTAGGTGAAAAATCTCAAGAAACCATTGGTTGAAACTAATATCCTGGATAAGTTGATTTCACACAGGTAAATCCCTGCTCACCTCCCATGCCTATCCAGTCACAATAAAAGCAGCACTGGAATAGCATTAAAACTGCTGATGCAATTCCTTAGATTCAAAACTTAATGTTTACACATTTCCATAGCACTCCAAAGAAAAGATAACAGCCAAGGAAAGGCCGGATGAATGATCCCAGTTGTTTATACACACCTATAGTAAAGCATTCCTCAACTTTAAAACTTCAGTGCATCAAGGGCAGTGAAGAGAACAAAAAGGAAAAATGTTTCACATGGCCTTCCACAAAACATGACTGAAGCTGGCATTAAGACTGCTACCTACACTGTATATATCAATTAGAAAGAAATTCCATTTTCCATTATTAGTATCTTGAGATAATTAGAGAAGCTCCAGAATACAATCCAGTTTACTCCTCCCATATTTAACAGCTTTTTCAGAAAATCATCACCTTTATTTATTCCCACTACTTCCATGCACAGACTGTTTTCTTTTAAAATCTGAACAGCAAGTCTATTTTTACAAGGCAAAGAGCACAATTTTTTGACACTTCCGTGCCTTTCCTTGTATTTATTTTAATTACTGCCTTCAATACACCTGGCTTGCTTTCTTATATTCATAATATAACTTCTATAATCTCATAATCTCATAATATAACTTCTATAATCAACAGAAAGAAGCAGTTACGTCCTCTGGAGTGTCTTCGTTTCACTGTCTGGCTAGTATCTGAAAGAATGGTTCCAAAATTGCAACATATTTCATAACGCTCAAATTCTCATCAACACTCAAGTTGCTCATAGTAAAGAATGAAAGGGATACTGAATCCATTTACTTCTCCTGAAGTGAGAACGTCAGAATCCAAGGTTCAAGTAATACGTGGTTTACCTGAAACTGCTTCTTCACTAGATGGGACTGAGGGCAATTTATGGATTTATTTTTTTTTTTTTTGCCTCAAAGCAAATGATCAGTTTACTTCAGAAAAACTTGGAACTTCCTTAGGTATTCCTCCAAACTACTAAATACATTCTTAAACTTTAATCAGTCCTCCCAGGCAACAAAGAAACAATCATGCCAGTTCATATTTCTATTGTGATTAGCTCCCACAGAAGTGCTTTAATAACTACACTTGACTCACGACTCAGAGAGTGATTTTAAGTCTGTCTCCAACACCGCATGAACATATGGAGCCAGATGGGTCCAGAGACCATATAACTGACTTCTTATAGCTCTTCCTAGAAGCAAGCCTGCTCAGGAACATAATACAGGTACATCTGACAGAACAGCTGCTGTATCTATAGGCTGGCTGTATTACGTAGGAACTAGTCCAAATCCAGCAGGACTGATACTGAATCTGCACACCTGAGCCTTACTAGACAAAGCCTGACTTAGCAAGCAGTTAACGCAGATCAGCTTCAGGTGAAAAGTTAGGTAAGTAACACAAGCTAAAAAGTCCCTGACCACATGTGAAGAGTTAACTGTATGCACTAGTAAACTTTTATGTTCCTACCACTGAAAGAATTGCTCATAAGCATTCATTAAAGTTCCCTTGTCTCGTATATCTTTGCTTTCTCATTATTTCTTAGTCTGCTACTATGAAGTAAAGATCTAATTCCTGAGACAGATTTGAATAAAAAACCTGAAATAAATAGTAAATTAACAACCCTTTTCCTTGCTATTAAAAAAAAGATAAGTTCATAACCAAACTTGAGAAATAAAAAGTAAAGCAAAGCAAACACCCGCTTCTGTGTCTACATAACAAATTCTACCTTCCATATTTCTGAGTCCTATTACAGGCAGTCACTTCTTTTTTAACTTCAGCGGTAAGTGTTTTTAAATAAGGAGGGGGAGGGAGAGAAGAAAACACGACTTTTACAGGCACCACGCAACAATGAGAAAGTGTTGTTTGAAAAAAATACGCAAAACTAAACTTTAAAATAAGAAGCTGACACCACTACATTAATCTAGAATCACTGTTTACAGTTCAGTGCCTAGAACGGTCTTTTATGTAGAGCCCTCGATTTACCCCTGGGGATTTTTGGTTAATAAAGCATATACTGCTGACTGGATATCAGCTCACAATGACTAGCTAAAATCTTCCAATTTGCAATACTGATACTCAAAGTAGTTAATTTTGTATCAACAGTTTGCCCCCTTATTTGTTAAGTGTACATCCTACCTTCACACCAACTGCAACATCAGTGACAATGCTGTAAAAAAAAAAAAACAAACAAGAACACAAGTTAACCAATTTATCTTCAAATTCAACTTTTCAATGTATTGCAATGACAAAATAATGAGGAAACAAATAGCCAACAACTTTCCTGATCAAGAAACTGTGTTCCAAGAACACAGCAGGACTGAGAGGGGAAGTACAAAAGAAACCTACAAAAGCCACTGCGCTCCCCCAGACTACAGGCTTCTCCAAAAGAGTACAAAGTTTCAAGTAAACGTCACTCCAGTGCAGCACTGTCAGGAAATTTCTTTAGGAGACTCGGGTCTCCGGACTACACGTGGACCACAGGGTGGAAATAAAATAATTTGAAAGCAAGCACAGAACTTTTCTCAAACATCTCTGCTAACTAGACAGCTAATTCAGCAACACAGCCCGCCCTAGAGATCTTCTTAAACCAGAAAGCAACAAAAACATTTTTTTTAAAATTAGCTTGGAAAAAAAAGGAATGCGTTGGCAGTTACACTTATATGAAATTTAATGAGGTACACCCATACAAAACTCTGCAAGAAGTATGTCAAGGTCCACCTTTTTCTTAGAGGTTATGACATCATCACTCTGTGTAACACAATCCCAACAGAAATGTAAGTCCACACGAAGAAAAAAAAAAAGAAAACAGGAATATATGAGAGCATTCCACCATGTAGTACTCATTAGTGACAAGACTGTTCAGACAGGATTTGTAAAACCTAACATTATAACCACAATTAACTATAAAAAGCCTTTAGAACTCTCACAGTTGAAAGGTTATATGCTTTAAGCATACCAAAGAGATGGCTTCTCTGTTTGAAGTAGAGTAAACAACTTAATAGGAAATGCGTGAGCTAGAAGCTGTTGTATTTACACTGACGAGGGCTACAACCAGCAGCCCCATTTTCCAAATCCAACAAAAAGCAGGCCTTGTGTGTGGTGCCTGCCCACCCCAGCCCTCGCTGTCCCGCATGGTCGAGTCCTTCCAACCTTCCCTTCTTTGGCTCTTACAGCCAGACCACAGCATATACAAAGACATCTTTCTACCTGGGGAGGGGAGAAGCCAAAGGGCTTATTAGGCAGTTTCTGAAAACAAAAGAGCTCGACATCTGGCTCCCGCTGGTATCGCTCCTCCCCCCCAGCCAGCTCCAAAACAAACCCGAGCCCCGCAGCGTGCCCCTCGTCACCCCCCGCCCGGGGGCAGACAAGGCATAGGCGGGAGAGCAAGAGGGAGCGAGAGGCTCTGGAGGGGCCGATGGGGGTAGATCGCGGTGCCTCTTCACGTCGAGACGCGCCGTATCGGGCACCGCACTGAGCAGAGGGCGGCCCCAATCCGTCGGCGACTCGAGCGGGGGATCCTACCGGGGGGTTACGGAGACGCTGAGCCCCGTCTTGCCCCGCTCCCAGCCTGCACGGAGATCTCAGGCTCCAGCCGTCCCGCGGCGGGCAGCCCGCCGCTCCCCACACCCTCAGAGACGCCCGTCGTCAGCCAGCGAGGCACCGGGACAGGTCCCAGCACCGACCGGCAGCAGCAGCGCGGCAGCCCCTCGCCCCCAACGCCCCGGCCCTCACTCACCCGTCCATTGCCGAGCAGGACAGAGCGCGGGCAGCGGGACAGGAGCCGCGCACGGGGAGGCTGCGAGAAAATGGCGGCCTGGCCTGCACGGAAACCGCCGAGCGTTGCCGAGTGCCGGGCTCCGCTCCGCGTCCGCCGCCGCTACCGCGCACGCGCCGGCCGCCCGCGCATGCGCCTTGCGCGCCGGTGAAGCTTTTGCCCTCAGCCGCCCGGCCCGAGCCGGCTCGTGAGGCGGTGCGAGCCTGCCCCGCCCGGGGCGGGAACGGGGCGGGGGAGTCCCTCACACACACGGCGGGTCCGGCACCCGCATCCCGGGTCCGTCACGCGCGTCCCGAGGGGCGGCTCCCGCTCCTCCCGCCCCGGCGCCCCGCTTCGGGACTGCGGGGTTGGGGGGGTCACACGACAGCGCCCAGGCCGCTGGGGGCGGCGGGGGCGGACCCGCCCCGGGCGTTCCTCAGGCCGTGGCCGTTCCCGGCCGCCCCGCCCGGGGCCGGGGCTGAGCCGCCGGCTCCCACTTGTTGCGTGGAGGGTTCCCGCGCTTGTTGCCAGCGTTTCCCAGCGCCGGGATCTGGTCCCGTGTCCTCACGGAAAATGTTCAGATGGCCTGGGCAGCCCCGTGCACTCCGTCCCCCTACAGGGAGCCCTGTCCCCAGCGCTCGGTGCCCTCGGCTGCGCAGTCACTGACAGGGAAACAACGTTGACTATATTGCTGATCACTAATACTATTTAAAAAATAATTAAGATGAACGTACAAATCAACCATTGCAGTGAGCTGGGTTGTTTCCTCACAGAAATCCCTGTCGCTGTGGTTTTCTATAAACTATCACATCAGGGTACAAACTATTTGCTCTGCCTGGCCATTAGGAAATACACTATTTTTCCCCCTTATTTTTTGGCAGGTCTCAATGTTTCATCACAAATCTCAAAATGTTTGATACAGGGTTTCTAGAAAGAGCTGTGTGTGAGACAGTCCTGGATTGCATTCAAACAAAAAGTCGAACTAAAGGTTTTATACCTATGAAAGAAAATTTGAAAATGTGCTCCAAATGTTCCTATAAGATCCCAAACACAGAAGAATACTAAAAAGTATTCAAAACGTCTTCTGTCATTTTTATATTTTCAAAAATATGTTTTTAGGAAGTAGTCCCTTACTTGATTGCACTTTATTTTTTTCAGGTTACTGTAAGTGCCTTGGAGTCTGTCACTGAAACTATTACAATGAAGATGATAAAGAATTTAGGAACCAAAAAACTATGCATACCTCCATAACTAGAAAATTTTCAGTATGCTTTAATACCCCTGTATCCTTCTTCTCTACGGTGACCTCATGAATAGCTTAATAACTGACTTAACATTTGTATGTAGGAGTACATACAAATCCTCATTCTACTCTGTGACTTTTTGTTGTTCTGTTCTGGAAAAGTCACTCTGGTTCTCTGCAGCAACCAGTTTACTAGGTGGAAAATAGCTCAGTTTTATATTTGTAAAAGTACTAATCCTTCTACTTCTTAGTTATTAATAGAAAAGGTGTCTTTCCATTTGACTGCTCTGTCTCACTGCCTGACTTGCTTACCTCCATTGCCTTTATAGTAATGCCATCTTCAAACCTTATATTCTCTTCTGTAACATTCCTGTTTTCTTCTTCTTTCCTGACACCTAGCAGAATCTATCTAATTAAGTGAGCTAATTCTCATTCAGTTTATCCTCTGAGTTAGATGCTCTTCCCTATAAGGGAGACTGAGGAGCTCCTGTTGAGTGTTTATAGCAGAAAAGGCACTGGAACGGAGTTTGCAAATTTGAGTTTGAAACAATGGATGTGACTTTATAGAGAAAAGCTCTGCCCCTCCCCACCCAAACCATCAATAAAGTGATAATTAATCAATCAGGATTTTACCTTAACCATAACCCTAACCTAGAGCATTTAATTTTAGAAGGGAAAAAAAGATACCAACATTCAGTGTGTTACTAATAAAATACCATGACACTCTCTTGCTCAGGTGTTTGTGCAATGTGGTATTCCACTTTCCTCTTCAAGTAGCTTCGCCTTTTTATACTATTAGATCACTTTTAGTATGCTTTTGGGTGCCTGATGAAATGTCTGCCATATTTGGGACATTGTGATAGCACAAATAATGACTTGGTCATCTGTCTTCTCTGTTGCTAAAGTATGTCTTTGCTTTTTTTTTCTAATGTTTTAGAAGGTCAGAAAAAGATTGCTGCAAAAAAACACCCCCTTGTCCTTATGACCTGTCAACTTTCTGCTGAAGTCCTGCATCAGATATTTCAGAAGGCAGCTGAAATGTCCAATGGGACAATCATTCAGTAAAACACCTCAAGCAAAACCCTCCACATTCAGTTGTTACATTACAAAACACGAGGGCTTAAATCCTCAATCCATTTTATTCTAACAAAAGTTTAAGTGAAGATACTTCTATAGGCTGTACAAAAGTTCCAAAAGTTTTCTTTTGAAATCCTAGTAATCTTACTGCTGTAATAATATTTTGTTTTCCAAAATAGTTTCCTTTGACTGATACACTTAGATGTTTCACTTTGATTGGTTGTTGCCTTTTTATTTCAAGAACAGCTAATAGCTGTGTAGTTCAATAGCATTATGAGTAGTTAATGCTTAGTGGAAGATTTTAGGAACTAGAAAGCACACAAAGATATCTTCTGCTGTATGTTGTCTCAAATTGAATCTCTGGAGCTACTGGGGAAAAAACCCAGCATCCACATTCTCAGAGAATATCTTGTCCAAGAACGTGCCTGAGTACTTTTTGACACCTGCAGCATTCTAGGGCAACAGATTATGCAATTTTGGAAATCTCTGTGTGAAAAATATTTTTTTGTTTGTGTCAGGCCCACTGCCTAATAATTTCCTTTGATGTCCACTAGTCCTTTTCTTTTAAAAAATAGATAAGTTTCCCCATTCACCTAAACATGCCATTCATGAATGCATATAGCTTCGTCATATTTTCTTCAGTTCTATTTCCAGAGTCCTAGTAAATTTAATGTCTTCCCTATTAGAAGTCATTCCATGTTTTCAATAATTTGTTTTGCCTTTTTATACACCTTTCCTAATTCTGTTCTATAAGACCATAATGGTCATCATTATTCAAGTTACAAATCCAATGGCTTTATATAGGTGCATAATGAGTGCTTTCTGGTTTTATATTCTTTTTCTTTTTTGATAATACCAATCTCATTTGCATGTTTGAATGCTACACAGCCATGAGCTGCTGTTTTCACACCCCCCCACAACTCAAGCACTCTTTGCTGTGTGGAAGCCATTCATTTAGATTCCAGGACTTTGCATATATATTTTGGCTTTTTTTCTCCCTTGAATATTACTTCCATTTTTCAGCACAGAATTCAACTTGCCATTTCATCATTCAGTCACACAGTATCATGAGAGCTTTCCACAATTCTTCACGGTCAGCTTTTGTTTTTATTACCATGAATAATTCAGCATCATCAGCAAACTTGGTCGCCTCAATAATCACTCTTTTTTCCAGATCATTTAAGAATATGCCGAACAGCACAGGTCCCTGTGGTACTCTACCACTGACCTCCCTCTACTGTGAAAAAAATAGACCATTTTTCTTGTCCTTCATTTAATATCTTTTAATAATGTAGTATTAATAACTAATAATTAAAAATTTATTAATATATAAAATAATATACCTGTTAATACTGTATCACCTTAGTTTCTTTTGAGAACCTTGGGCAGAGAATTTCAACAAACTCTTTTTTTTTAAATTATATCATACTGTTTCAATCAGACTATGTGAAAACTCGAACTTAGTGACTCCTTCAATGAACATGATACTTCTTACTATTAGATGCACTTACACAGTAACCATTTTTCCCTATCTCCAAACTAAATAGCCCTGTCTATTTAGTTTCTCCATATTATTAACAGTAGTGTCATTAAATGGTGTTGCTTAGAACAACAGATCCTCTGGATATTATGGGAAAGGTTGATCATTTGGTGTACCAGTCTTTGTTACATTAAACCACGTTAATCTATCTTAAGCCAGTCCTTATCATCTTCATAAATTCCCCAGATGCCTTTGAGCAAAGTCCAAACATTTATTAGCAGCTATTCATCTTTTTGTGGTCCTGTAAACAATGTCCTTAATCAACATTTCTTCTCAGCAGTCTACATTGATTTACTTTGTTTTCTTAATCAAAGTTTTGAAGCTATTGTGCAGTTCTTACAAGCACAGTGCCCTCAATAAATGTCTCTTTTTCAAGTTCAAGTCAGAACTCATCTTGCTGGTCTGAATCCCACAGGCTGCTCTACAGCATTTTATTTCTAGCGTCCTTGCTAGAAAGACAGCTTATCTTGGGCGGGCTGGGAGTGTAACTGCTCTCTACTGTATCAAACACTGAAACGTGTGACACAGCTCATACTGTACGTCAGTGAATGTTCGTATAGGTTCAGAGGCCTATATTTGACTCCGAGATTATTATCTGTCTGCCTACTTTCCCTCTCTTGCTTGTACCATATCCACCTGGAAATTTATTTTCCATAGCAAATTCACCTTCTTCTATCACCGTGATTAAATACATGTACATTTACTTTCTTCAGGACTGGAGAACAGTTTTACTTTTTATTACAAATATTATATGCCATTGGTGATTGCAAATATCTTTCATTCCATAGGGTTTTCTTGTTTTTTGTCTTAGCTGATTGGTGGTGGATTGAAGATCATGTTGTGGGTCGTGTACAGCCATGGCTGAAGCTCTGGGAAGAGTGCTGTTTTCCGTTAGGGAAAAGAAGTGAAATGAATTGTTGGGGTTTTTTTTCTGAATGTAAAGGTGTTTGTTGAGGTTATAAAACAAAAGGTGGAAGTTCTCTTCTTCTTGACCTAAAAAAATGTAAAGATCTTTCTGTTGTCACAAACAGATGTCTAAGTGCTGGCCTGGCGCTCTACAAGACACAGGTGAAATATTCCAACACCAAAGCCATGATTGCTCTCCAAGTACCTAGTAAAGTAATTTAATGGGTAGTGAGAACCTAGTTGTCCCCTGGCCACAGTATGGTTGAGCAGTACTGATGAGGGCTGCTCCCTAATGATGGTGCTTTTACCAGCCTGGATCTTTACATTGTAGATGGCATAGCTTTCCTGCCTACCAGGCTGTCACAAAACCCACTAAAAAAAACCCCCAAGCACTGTACTTTTAAAATCACGTGTGGGTTACATGAAAGACCCACAATCAGAAAAGATTTAATTCTTAGAGACTCCTTCCTTACTACAATAGCTTTTGCCAACCAGTACTGCAGGTAACAAAGGTTCTCCACTTGAGGATCAGACAAGGTATAGATTTAGGGACTTCAAGATGATTTTTATTTTTAAGCTGAAGTGATGCTACCTAAATTTTGGCTAATGATACTCATGTAAGGGCATGGCTAACTTAACCGAGCTCAAGCATTTAGTCTAGCAATGCCCTGGCAAGCTGTTTGTGCAAATTGGTGCCCAGTCTGGCATGATGTCTCAGCAAGCAGGTGGTGACTAGTAGCTGAGAGGTGGCAAACATTAACCCCTCATCCAATATGCCTGCTTTTGCAGGGGGGACTTTTCTTCTGTTCCAGTGCAAAAACAATGTAGATCCACTGCTGCAGGTGATCTGAACTCATCTGGTTTGACTTTGCACTGAAGCAATCTAGACAGTCATTTTTATCAGACAAACGATCTCAAGCCCCCAGCCCTCCTGCCTCCAGCTGCTCATTTGCAGTCTGAGAGCCTTACCTGCTCTATGCCCTGCAGACAGGAGCAAGCACAGGCCAGAGGTTTCAGCCACAGCCCAAGTCAATATCCCAAAAATGGGCTTACATGCAAACTGAAGGGTGTACTAAGGTGTATTGTGACTCGCTCTCTATCTAACTCACAGACCGGCATCAGACAGAATACTTTTTAACATACACAGTGAGCCCAGTCTTGAACAAAATCTGAGGTTGTCTAGTTTTACAAACATAATTATGATTAGTAAAAAGGTGACAAAAAAAGTAATGGACAATACAACTCTTTTGAAAAAACTCAACACCAGCAAGGAAAAGATTCCAAATCCCCAATAACATAGTAGTAAATTAAAGCAATACATTCTCAAACAAATAAAGAAAACTTATAGCAATTTCAAAGAATGTTCTTTGCACAGCTGGACTGAAATGGGACTTTTGCTATTGATTTCAGGAATACCAGAACTTGAACTCTGAACTCAAATGATTTAAAAGGAGTAAAAAGTGTCTCACAGTAATTTTTAAAAGGCCATGTAAGTGACAGATGAGCTCACCTTTCCACTTTACTCTTTGATGTTTTTTTTTCTACAGTTTTTCCAAAACTGGGCTCTTGCTATATCCCATCCTACAGAAGTTCTTCCAAATGCTTTTGTACCTTGTGTAAGAACACATTATGTTCCTCGGCTTTTTTGATAGGGATTATTTTATGGGCTTCTACAAGACTGTGTAAATTATCAAAAAGAATATCATAGAGGAAAAAATATTTCCAAGCAGATGCTGTCCATGGTGGCAAAAGATATTTAAAATGGAAACCTTTTAAGTGTTACAGAAAAATGTCTTCAAGGAGGACACCCCAGAAATGTGGCTGTTTTTTAGGAAATGAAAATCTTCAAAGGAGACACCTCTTTCTGTGAGGAAATCCTCAAAGGGGCATTCCTCCAAAGTGAGAATCTTTGAAAATGAAATCTCTTAACTGATCTGAAAACTTTGAAAGCAATAAACCATTCCTAAAACCAAAAGCAATATTTTCTTTGGCAGAGTATAGAGTGTTCTTAAAGAGAACTGCACCATCATTAACTATAGAAGTAATCAATGCCTACTTCTCTTACAAGAAGGAATAAGTATTATTTAAAATCCTTAACATCATCACAAAGTTATTAAAATAAATTTTTACAACATTTTTAACAATAAAAAGTATTGGTGGCAGCATACTCTCATCACTGGGCAGGCAGTTGCTGACTTA